CTCAGCGATACCGTGTTGCGGGCGTAGGCCTTGGACGATCCTCAATTACGGCGCGTGTTTCAAGGCGTGTACCCAGCCGACAAATTACCCCGATCACCCACCAAAACCGTACGAGCGGCTTACATTGTCAACACCGATACAGCGGGGGAGCCCCGGACAACATTTTTTGGGGCTGTGGACAGAACAAAACAAGTGCGAGATCTTTGACAGTTATGGTTTACCCTTGCACGTGTACAAAGACCCGAAGCTGCACCAGTGGTGGAGTCAATGGAAGTACCTGACCCGCAGTGACATCACCCTAAAAGCCATGGATAGTCAGACCTGTGGACATTATGCGTTATTTTTCCGGAAAGTCAGAGCGCAGGGCAGACCTATCAAGACTTTTTGGGACTTGGAGTATCGACAATTTAGTGTTGAATGATCATAAAGTGACCGAAGATTTGAAACGGGTGATTAAACCTGAATTGCAAGATGAAGTGGATGCCCGACCCGGTGGGCAAAGTAATGTGAGCCGCCAGGCCTTTATGCTCTGTAATCATTGTTCATGATGTTAAAAAATAAAACAACACTTGTAAATCAGGAAGTGTGTGTGGTGGATGCTTAAAAAAGACGCGTCGTGTCGCAAGGGGTGTCACTGTTCATCATGATTACACGCGACGATGTACAGCGCGTGATTAATGCTTTTATTTTAGAAGAAACCCTGTATTGGTGGTTGCATCCGATCGAACGGGTCCAAACCGTCCGAGGGATTGATGCTTGGGATGGAGAATAGGTGTCCCTCAAAGCGTTCTTCACTGCGCGAAAATGAAAATATTCGGAGATGTTCGAGCCTTGAATACGTGATCATGACTCCCTAGAATCCTTAGGTATTCAAGGTGCACACCTCACGTAAAGTATACTGAAATCTTCAGCTCGAATACACCCGAATATCTTTGTTGAGTGTCATTCGTAGATTTCCCAAAACGCACGCTTCAACAAATTTCATCGACCAGTTATTGATGGTAACAATTTGTCCGTTATGATGAAAAAGATTGAAAATTTAAAAGATTGAAAACCGTTTTTAATATTACTTGATATGGGTGGTTTCAAGAGTCTTGAAACGATCCTTTATTTATTTCTGGGGAGAACTCATCTTCCTGGGGTTTTCAAAAGTAACTTGCGTGAATATTGAAATTAAACTATTTCTTTTTTAAAATGTAATATTCATATTAAATTGCAAGAACTTTAACTTGGCACATCGAGATCGAAAAATAAGCTAATTATTTGCATTTATAATTCTTATAGCTGCAGTGACATACATTGACTTAAAGCTAGTCTATCTGTTATAATTATATAACATCAATACAAAAAAAATGAAAACAAACGGAACACTCTGCCAACTCCACGACCTACGTAGCGGCGCAACTCACCAATTTCGCAAAGCTGGAGCGAGAAAAGCCCCTTGGTCAGCTGCATGGGAGGACTCGAACCGGCTCCAAAGCCTTAAACGCTGCCGTGCATTTGATGCAAACCTTTTTAAATCTTTGACTGACTTACTAGAAAAGTAGTTGAAACTGTCTATATATATATGACAAATTGGTATTCTCAATCATTGTGGTACTCCGAAAACGGAATTGCGCATGCCCAGATTGCTTTCTTTTACATAATTTTGTTTTGATAACGCAGGATCACATGTGATTATCTAAAATTTCATTACCTGTACTTGACGCTTTCGAGAGCTCATCAGCATCGATTCTTTCTCTTCGTTGGGATTCTTACATAAGTCACATTTATTGAAAATACCGGACTGCCCGGCAGTCGTTCTGAAAAACGTTCTAAGTGTCACAAAGCATGGTTTCGTTTTCTGAGACCAGCGGAAGGCAGACGCTACACTTAGATCTATAAAGCATATATGTTATCTGATTTCCCTTCTTTCTTGTTTCTGTTACGTTTCTGGTGACGTATTTTTTCCTTTTCTTTTGATTGCGTGATCAGTGTTTCAGAAATTTTGCCTTTGCGAACAATCAAGGTGAATAAAGGTAAATTTACTTTTGAGATCGCGCCATTACTCGGTTCTCTATTACTCGCGCTCTTTACATTACATGTAAAGACTGTGAGGTTGCCATTGCTTTCGATTCTAAGTGACAAAATTCGCAGAGAATACTAACAGCTGCCGATATTTGCAAGATTGATCTCAATGAGTGCTGGCGTTAAAATAGAATGATTCACCCTCTTTTACAGACGGAGAAAACAAAAGAGACTGGGGCCTAGAAAAGAACGGAATGATGGTTAGCGGACTTTTCTTTTGCTCATGCTCATTGCCGTCGTTCGTTTTGGCGTCCATTTTGAAAGTGACTGCAACGGCTTCAAATTGGTTTCAAACTTGCCAGCTTATTTGGGTTCTAGGAGTGTGGAGTCCGTTTATTTTTGCTTTCCGATAGCACCACAAAACATCTAAGGGTTGTTGTTTTTGTTAAAATGAGGAACAGATGGACAGACTTTTAATAAATACAATTGAAAAGGATGGCAATTGTTCCTTTTGAAATTTGTTAGCCTAACAGTTTTCCAAATTTCAATTTTGTGGTCTGTAGCGTTTGATGCTTGGGAGAAATATTTGTTCACACAAAGCTGTGATTGACGAGTAAGTTCATGGCAAATGCGGACATGTCCATGTAATTGACATTATTAACAGAATGATCCAGACAATACTGAATATTTTGACACAGCCTCTTTAAGTCTTAATTTCAGTTGCCTTCATCGCAGACACTCTAAACCTTCTGTATAGAGCTTCTGAAAATTAGTGCACAACATTGTTTTCGAATCCTGCAGAGTCGCAAGGATATATGTCAGCGTTTTGATTGGCTACTTTCTTACGCAGTTTGTGATTAGTCCGATTTTAATTAAGTGTTGACAGGCCCAACACGACTAATAGCTTGTGACAAGAGAGACTGAGCTCGTGATAGTGTGAAACGTGACCTTAGAGTCACCTTGAACAACAGAGGTTTTTCTTGCTCTCTTTTTGCGTAGTTTATGCAGTGCATGGAGTATTATACACTTCGACTAAAATCATTCTAAATACATCCAACTTAAAAACATGCTTTATACCTCGATCAATGAAAAGCTCTCATCATCGTAATACTGTTGGAATGATGAATATATAAAATTCAGATACTGGAAAAATGGAATGAAGGATATTAAATGCAAAGAAGATCATCGCAGTTTAAGACGCAACTCATGCAGTTGCAGTAAGTAAAGCTTGAAAAAAATTCAGACCTGATGGGATTCAACCTCTGACCTCTGTGATACCGGTGCAGCACTCTAACATTGAGCTAGAAAGCCAACTTGGGGTGATCATTAAATTGTTTCATAGAACAGTTTATACCCAGGAAAAATGAAGATGAAATGACCAATATATGAATTTTATATATCGAAACTGTGGAATGAAGAAATAAATGCAAAGAAGATCATCACAGTAGGTCTTTGCATTTATTCCTTTATTCTTCCGTTCAAATATATAAAATTCATATACTCATCATCTCACCTATATTACAAACCAATTTAATGACCTGGCTCCCCGTTGGCTTGTTACATGTAGCTCAATTTATTGCTTAGAATGCTGTGCTGGTATCGCAAAGGTCAGGGTTCAAATCGCGCTGGGCCTGGATGTTTTTCAGGCTTTCTGTTCGCAACTTTAACTGCGATGATCTTCCTCACATTTATAATATTATTCTATGTCTTCCATCAAATGGTATTTTTACTGTTGTTGCTATGTTTTTAGCCAGCAGTTAGGTTTTTTCTAATGTGGATGAAATCTTTGGTGATTTTCTTCAGCTCGACCAAAAACAGCTGAGCTACCATGCCTTCAGCCCCTTGTTCTGAACAGTTATCTGTAAAAGTGACTCCACATTTTCATAATAATGGCAAACATCTTCCAAATTTGGTCAACAGTTATTAGTTGTGAAGGATTAGTGTGGGGGTTTTCCAATTTGAAATGGAGAAATATTTTGAATGAATAATAACATTTTATTTGACAACCTTTCATGCAACTCAACTCAATAAACTAGTATAAAATTGTGCACAATGGTGTTGTTGCCATTCTGTGTTACTTAAGGTTACCGGATACCTTCAGCATCGGCCCCCGGGTTGCTCACATGCAAGTGTGGTAGGGCTTTCCGGTTAAACTGGTGATACCTTAAACCATACATATACATGTATATCAATTATTTAAAGCTTTATTGAACTGGCTATCTTTATAAACCAACACTTTTGAAAGAGTTCACTGTAAATTTCTTTTTCTCTTAAGTTGCATGATCATACAAATATAGATACTGTTTCAGCTAAAAGTCAAAGAGAATTTGTTCAATGGACCTAAAATTTTGAGGAATGTTTCTTTAACTAGTAAGCAACAAACATGTGTTGGGGGAATTGTGTGTTTCTTAAAACTTTGTTGTCGAAATGAATTTTTCTATAATCATCCAAATTTTTTCAGTCCTATTTACAAATTTTTCTGCAACTTTTCATTGCAATCGAAATGGGAAAACCCCGACAAGTTTTAAGCGCTTTGACTTCCAAAAGAATTAAACCAATTAAATTAATGAAAAACAAAAATCGCTTTGAATTTTAACTTTGGAAAGGTGATTTGAGGGTCATTAAAAAAATCATGAAAAATTGACAGCGCAAGTATTTTAAAAAAATCTTGGTCTAGATAGCAGTTCACTGAGCTTTTTTTTTGAAATAGGGTTTTAGGTGTCCACAGTTTAACTAGAACGCACTAGATCACTTGCACGTACATGTAAGACATCCCTGAAGGTACAATGTATCCAGTAACCTTAAGTTCTTTGCAGATACTCAAAAACCTTAAAAAGCTATGCATACATGTACAGGCATTCAGCTGACTGAGACAATGGATGAAGCTGGTCTGATTTGATATTATAATTCTTAAAATGACATTATTTTCACTTTTATTTGCAGGTGCCAATGTTAGGTACTAAAAAATAACAAGAAATCTTTACCTACAGTCACTTCCTGAAAACCAAAAAAGAACAAAACAAACAAAACAGGACAACAAAGTACGTCCAAGAAGGAAAAGGGTATGTTGACTTGAACTTCTTTAATTTTGTAAGCCACTGTATGTGTAAAAAGCATCAACCCATAATAAATCTGTACGGTGCCAAATTACAGTTAACAGCAGTTGTGACTTTGCAATGACCAAGTAGATCACCCATAAGCCCCTATTAGACAAAAGAATATTTAACTGCAGGCTTAACTGTAATAGCAGCTGTAAGTTGCTGTTTTAGTTGCAGCAAAATGTTTTACCCACAAGTAAAGTGATTAATAAATTTATTGTGGACATTTTTTCTGCAATTATAGGAATTAAGACTTCTGCATAAAACGAGTCCTAGTACAGGGCATATGTGTAGCCTGATTTTAATGTGAATTTTAAAATCTCCTTCAGCTTTTCAATGCACCAGTTAAAGTGGCAAGGGGGCAAGAAAAGCAGTTAATGCGAGAACTTAACTACGACTTTGTAAGTGATGAGGAAGATGGGACAGAGGGAAAGTGGATTATAAGGTCACCAAGCTGGAGGTCTCCTAGGACCAATGAATTAACGAACAGACTCCAAAGAAGAATCGATCAGTCAAGAGAAGAGGAAGTGCGACCACATGTGCGAAGAGTCGAGGGACCTCTCTCAGAAAGTGGAAGAGCATGCAGAAGAGGTGAATCTGAACACAACTCAGAGCCGGAAGAGAAAGAGGAGATGCAGACAGAACTTCCTGTGACATCACCACCCAGGAGGAGAAAAAGATACCATCATTTTGGAAGTGATGACTGTGAAACTGATTAACTCTTTCAGTCTAACAGGCTTCTTAGGGCTATTAAATAATCAGTTCATTCTGTAACATACTGAGAATAGCATTGCTTGATAAATTTTCTTCCTCTTTATTTCTTTTGAGGTTATGATTTCATCCTAAATTTATAAATAGAAACGATGAATTATTTCTACTGCAGCAGTATTGCCCACATATGAATAGGAATATTTTTACTATATAAAAAAAACTTTTGAAGTAACATTGATTTTTTTTTATGTTGGAATGAATAGGTTATCCTAAGTAAGTGCTTGTATTTATAAACTAAAGCTGGTTTGCTAAGCAATGATTCCTATTCAGTACTGGAGCTTTCTTGGATGGTTTTTAAAAAGTTTTGTTCCTTTTAAGGTTGGTGAAAGAGACAATGTCATCTCTTTTTGTAATTATCCAGGAGGAAACTTTTAATCAATGGCAAATGAAAAACCAGGACAATTTTCAATGGTATTTTTTACAGCTAGTTAATACTGTATGACTAACTAAATTGTTAATTTTTATTCAATAAAGTTTTGTTGGCTGATAGTTACAATGTTTTCCTTCTTTGAACTGCACGAGACAAAAGGTAGTCCACGGAGACGTTCTTAGGGCTTCGTCATTCGTTCCTTCCCCAAGGAGGGCGAGGCAAAGCCCTAAGAACGTCTGCTACAGAGGCTAGTCAAAAATGACACTCCTATGTTCCGCGTAGATAGATCTAAGTATAGACCCCATGTGAACGTGAATCCTTTAATACCAAAGCATCTAAACGTCCCAAAAGGGTAAACATTCAATAATACATAAAACACGTTTATGTTCAGGAATGTGCAAACTCAATTTCAGGAACGAGATAAGCATTTCTACTCATATCTTCTTGAACGAGAGGAGTGATCGTAGTTGTTCGAGTTTGAATACTGCAGAATACCAACGTTCCACAAAGTCATGGGTTCGCAAACGCGGCGAACACTTGAGATGTGCCTTAGTATTCGCGCGTGTTCGCGTCTTGTAAACCGTTCGTCACTGTCGTGTTCGCGTCGTACGCAGACTCGAAAATTTTTGGTCATACTAAGATGTTCTAATGACAAATAATCATCATTGTTCGAAGCTGGTCAATATTGATCTTTTTAGAAAAGGAGTCGAGAGTATGCTGTTTAGAATGCTTCAAAGTATTCCAAGGTATTCTATTTGAATTCGGAAAAACAGTCCGGATTCTAAGTAGAATATTCGACGTGTACGTCGCGTCATGCGTGCTTGATTACCTCAGGATATTATCGTATACTTCACGTGTGCCTATCCGTATTCGGGCAAATTCGGTCGCGAATATGTGCCTTTTTGCGCAGTGATATTATGGTGATTGGTCACTACCTAATCAACATTTTCCAGGTATTAATGATTTTCTGAGTCTGACAGCAAAATTATTGAAAACTCTCTCTTTGAGGTACTGATGATGATTTTTAGTTAGATGATACCTGAAATCTTTAGGGAGGATAAACCCTTTTAGCAGAACACTGAATGGCACCCTTAAACGCTAAATGACCCAGACGTTTTATGATTAAGGTTAGGAAACTGGGTTCAAGTTTCAGTTAGGATTGATATACAGAGAGAACTGAAATGGAATATGATTCACTCAGAACTGTATAAAGTTGCCATGCGTGGAAGCCCATGGAGGTGTATTAGACTGTCACTTCTCCTGGACAAACCTTTTAATATATGTTTTTCACCCTGGGTCTGTAAAATTATTAATAGTGATTTGTTTCGACGTAAATCCTTCGGTTGTCTAACACTTGTTGTACATAAAAGCTCATGGGCAAAATTAAAACCACGACATGCGACACCACAAAAGGAAATAAATGTAGGAAAAAACACAACCAGCTCGAGTGAAATGAAATATTTATATTTTACTCTCCTAACACAACACATGAATGGCTTCGTTTCAAAAAGCGTTTTGAAGTAAGATAGCAGTTGCAGGACATGGAACAAGATACCTTTTTAGATTGACTTTTTCCCCCATTATATCGATCTTCGCGATATTGCTTTCCCAGCGTTTGTTCGCCAAACGGATTGAAAAAAAAAACACTCACATAACTCAGACGATAGTCTGCCGATTAATTGTCTCAGTTCTGCAAACCAACAGTGTGTTCAGCCGGTTTCTGTTACTGTCTTCTTCTTTTAACTCCAAATTATCAGTGAATCCAAGTTGAGTGAAGTGGTGCATTTTCAAAACATCCCAAAGAAGCCACTCTCTGGAGAGAGCTCAGGAAGTAAAATCTTTCACCCAGTGGAGCGGTGAGGGACAAAAATCTGTTATGAGCATGAGCAGCGATATTTGTAACTTCTGCACATGCGCAACCGGATTTCAGAAAATTTCTGACATCCGGTAACGGCTGCTTCCAGAGACCCTCGTTTCCAGACCACGTGACCAAGAAACGACGGGCTCTGGGGACGAGAATGAATGGACGCCAAAAGAAACAACGGCAATGAGCATCAGCAAAAGAAAAGTTCGTTGACCAGCATTCCGCCCTTTTCTAGGCCCCATTCTCTTTTGTTTTCTCAGTCTGTAAATGGGGTGGATCATTCTATTTTTTTTGTAATACGCCAGCACTCATTGAGACCAATCTTGCAAATATCGGTAGCTCTTAGTATTCTCTCCGATTTTTCTCTTAGAATCGAAAGCAATGGCAACCTCACACACCTCACAGTCTTTACATGTAATGTCACGAGCGCGAGTAATACAGAAGCGAGTAACGCGCGATCTCAAAAGTAAATTTACCTTCATTCACCTTAATTGCCGTTCCCAAAGGCAAAATTTCTGAAACACTGATCACGCGATCAAAAGAAAAGGAAAAAATACCTCACCAGAAACGTAACGGAAACAAGAAAGAACGGAAATGTGGTGGAAACATGATCGTTTCCGACGCGGAAACATGACGGAAACGTATCCTGTCCATGCCATGGTGAAAATCTTTTGAGGATCTTCTAGGATCTTTAAATATCTTTAGAGAGATCCTAGAGAATCACTGTGTGAAATGAGTTGTGTCAAGGTCCCGATATTAGTCGATACGAACCCGTATTCTTGAGAAAAACGGAAGTATGGAGAGGTATCGGGTTCCGGACGCGCAGCGTATACATTTAGTATCAGGACCCGTATTTTTCCTGAATGGAACTTTTTCCGCGGCATGGAATATCCGATATCCGGACACGTCATTGAAACGCGGCGTGTCAAGACCTGTAAACGTCCTTATTTTTCTAGATTTGCCGAGAATCATGGAGTGCCGTTGATGAACGCTACAATTTTTGCCTTTCATTTTCACTAAAATTCCACGCTACGGATTGTGTCATCCTATTTTGAACGGTTTTTTAAACCATAATCCTAATTTATACTCCAAACGTTCACGACACGTGAAGATTCTATTCCGTAGAATGCGATGAAATTCCACGATACGTGAAGTTTCGAGTGTTTTCACTTCCCCGAAATTCCATGGTACGTGAAATACCAGGGACTAAAACACCACTGGAATTCCACGGTTCATGAAATTACCGATGTTGAAATCGTGGCAAAACTCCCTGATACGCGAAAATTGCAACACGTTTATTGTACTAAATTCCACGATACTTTCAATTTCCATTCATCATATTGAATAAAGTGATACCGCCTTTTTACTCCATTGACACCTCACGATATGTTTCCTGGTCAGCATTGCACTTCATTGCATTTCAGGGACTTATTTGTGGGGTTGCAGTATTATACTGAAAATGATTTTTAACAGTTCCGACCATTCTACCATTTTTATCACCGCCGCAGTCTTATTCACTTTAACTAATTGCCCAACGCATGAGGGAAAAACAGGTTTTAAATCGCGTAACATCATTTATTTTAAAGTTCAAACACAGGAACAAAGTTTGATAATTCTGACAGGAAAACGTGCAAAGTAGTGTCAGTTGATAAACCTAACTCTAAAAAGTGTTCGGACATGTTGACAATTGTTTCAAAGAAATATACAAGGTACAGTTGCTAGGTTGATTGGAATATTCCAGAAACTCATAAGGAATGAGTGATTTCAAAACATTTCAATTTTTTCTAAAAAAAAGTTTTGCAAAAATTAAAACAGAATTCAAAGTGAAGATATTAAATTTAATCAAACAATGGCAACAACTAGAGAGTAATCCATCCATTCTCCATCCTATGTTCATCATCACTGCCACTCCTTAAAGTAAAGGAGAATGTGGGGAGGGAGGCTGCAGTGGAGGAGGATGTACTGGTGTGACAACTAGCTCCCCTGCTAATCAACGAAAATGGCCATGCATGTGAACTAAAGGGTGGTTGGCTTGTAGGTGGATCTCCTTAAACTCTGGGGTTTGGAAGTATTAACCAAGGAGCTGGCATCTAGCTGCTGCAGGGTCTCCTTAACCCTCTGTTCGCACCTTCATCTGTTTACTAAAATCTGCAAAGCACAGTCATTGAAAAAAGTGCGCAATAACCACAAATTAGTGCCCAAAGTAGTGGTTAAGGTAGTTTATTTTTGTACATGTGTATGAACCTCTTTACCACCCATACGCTTATAATAACATCATCAACAACAACAATAATAATAATGATACCTGTAATAATAATATTGGGATATTAAGGATAATAAGACTTTAAAATTTCTTTCGGATTTCTGTATATAAACAGAAAGGAAACTGGATCACAATCGCCTTGACATCGTGTGTGTGGACCAACAGAACAAAAATTGCCTCATCACTGATATTGCATGTCCTTTTGACAAAAGGGTGG